AAATAAGCAGCCATCTAGCTCAGAAGCATCAAAGCCCACATGGAAGAAGACATTTATTCTTAAACTTACACTGGGATTTTAGTGATAAAAACTTAAAAAGAAAACTGTCATTTCAATGTGCCCATATATTCGAGTTCCCAAACTTTACAATGCAGCTATAAAAGGGCAATACTGTGCTATTTCAAAAAATATATGCTAATTGTTTTTACTATGTTCTTTTATCCATTTTAGACCTTTCAGTTACTTGGATCTGAATCAGGTTTACAAAAGTATACCAGATATATGACAGATAAAAAGGCCTACATGGGAAAACCCCACCTTCCTTAAGCTACTTTCTCAACTTCTAAGGTATGGGCTTTCTAACATTTTTCAGATTTCATGTGATTTTTAAAGAACACCTTAGGCAAGCGTTAAAATAAAAAAGAATAAAGAATAATATAACAAACACGCAAGTGCCTACTACCTAGCTTGAATAAAATGAAACTGTACCAATTCAAATATCCTCTTTCTTAATCTGAGTATCAGCTATATGGATATGTTCACATTTTGTGAAAAAGAAGTTAACTTTAAAAAAGCACACACACGCACAATGTTTACAAAACAAATGAATGTGAATGTCCTTCTCTGATAGTATTTCTCTCCTGACTTTGTGCTTATCTCTTTTCTATAATATATATCTTTGGCTATGAAAAACCTGTTTCTTTATGCTGAAGAAAATAAAAGCATTAGTCTACATTCTTCATTTATTCACATAAACTTTTGGCATGGAGATTTATAATTCCTCTACAAATGAGTGTCATGTAAAAGCTAGTTCATCATTCTGTATTTATTTCTAAGTTACTAAACAGCAGCCCTAGTTTTTAAAAGGCTTAAATTATAGCCTACCACTCCAAAATGACACAGCCTTTAATATTATCAACCCACAATAAATTTTTGGTCTTAGAAAATCAACATTACCTCTATCCACATGTAGTCTGCATTTTTATAAAGGCTAGTTCTTATATACAATAGAGCTATAAAAAACATCCAAAGGCCAAATTACTAGTATTTATCAAAAGATCATAAAAGGCCTTAAAGTAAATTTAATTTTCATAAAATATATATACATTCCTGTACATCATTCTTATTAGGTATAAAATGTCATTTAAATGATTTTATTCTGTTTCAGGTCACATACATAGCCAAATGGTTTCATCTTACCCACTATACATACATATCTTTTCCTGAGGTATGCTTTGATTAAATTGTTTCATCCTTGGCTACCTAATATACATCTATTAAAAACTACAGCAGTTATAACAGCAACTGTTTAAAAAGAGCTTTTCTTAAAATATATTTCTTCTGTCATGTTATTTCAATTCTTCTAACTTTTCTCTTTAACAGCTGACCATCAGGGGTTCCAAGTCCCTCCCATCCTTGTCGCATTATTCTTCAGTAGTTTCATTTCCTACACTGTTCAAAATCATTCTTCTCTTTCACGTTAAAACATCTGTCTTAGTTAACCAGTTCTTTATATCTTCAACCAGGCTAACACAAGTCAGACTGTGATGCTGACTTCGTAACCTGCTAGAAAATATGAGTTATCATACATGGAAGCACCCTGAACTTCTTTGCGCCTGGTGGGGCAATGCCCGGAAAATCTGACTCATTTGCTGCTTCATCAGGTCAGAACATGTCACTTAATAACATGCCACATAATTGGAGGCCCACATTAAGACGTTATTTGCCTAACACTGTGAAAATCTGCATTAAAGATGTATATAAAAAGATGATTAGAGACTGTGAAGTAAATTCAACTTTTATGTTGTGCCATAATTATACGGAGGGAACAGCAGGCTTTGAACAAAGAATACGACAGTTACAAGCTTCATATTAATCAATAAAATGAAATTAGGTTAATAAAAATATAAGAACATTTTCAGATTTAACCAATAATTAATACTAATCAGTTTAAGAAACTTCTGATTCTGTTCAATATGGATTTAGAGCAGCGGTTATCAATCTGTGGGTCATGACCCACTTGGGGGTCGAATGACCCTTTCACAGGGCTCGCCCAATTCATAACAGTAGCAAAATTAGAGGAACTGTATTAAAGGGTCACGGCATTAGGAAGGTTGAGAACCACTGATTTCGAGGAACCAGGTTTATCTACCCACCTAAAAATGGCTGACATATACAAAACCAAAATAAAACAGTTTTAAGATACTAAACATAAGCAATGAAGGAAAATAATCCCTGAGGGACAGGATACAAAGTGAGCACTACACCTGCCTGGGAAGAGTTTCCAAACCACAGTGGGATGCAGGAGGGGAAATTTATGTGAGATCTGACAAGTTTTCTGGGTTAAGGGGAAATAAAGGTGACAAGTGTTTGTAGAAAGGAGCCCTACACTAACCCACCCAAGGGGAGGGTATTGTTTATATCTCCACAGGGAAAGAGGGAACAGACTTCAACCCAGTGCTCCAAGATGTGAATGCAATATGCTGGCATGGAGTAGGGAACCAGTGGAGAGGTCTGG